ACTAGCGACAGAACATTTAAGAATCATACTCTCATTTATTACAGATTTACTGAATTTCTTATTCAATAGCAAAACATGAGTAATCAGCTTCTTAGTTTTCATTTGGAAGTAGCAACAGCTCGGAAACGGGCTTGAAAATGTGCAGCTAACTTATCTTCGGGAGGTAGATTTTCCTTTATAATACTGCAATTATGGAATTCATCAATCCATTCACCTACATTGGGAAATATTGTAAAAGATGATTAGGCTGAATATTTTTGTGATGCATTCTCATTGATTTCGTATGTCAATATATAGCTATACAGGCCTTTGCTTTACACGGAAAGAAATAAATGTTGACTTGTGCAATTGTCTAATTACATGAGATTGCTAGAATCATGAGTGCTTGATGTGTGCAGGACTAAATGTTGACTTGTGCAATTGTCTAATTACATGGGATTGCTAGAATCATGAGTGCATGATGTGTGTAGGATGGCTGGAATCATGAGTGCGTGATATGTGCTGTACTAAATATTTCTTTTGTGAATACTTGCAGTCCTGCCAATTCTTGGAGAATTCCAAACCAATATGCCACGAAATTGCCAGTGACATTGACCATTCCTATAGTCTCACCCGGCCCAAAGAACTTCTTGCCAGAAAGTGTACTCTCAAGAATTTTCAGGAGTTCCATACATTCCTCCTTGAGCTTCTCTTGCTCCTCTCCTTTGCTCCAACATACTTTCCACATTGCAGGCACACACTAAAAGCAAAGGATTTATTTATTTTTTTTTTATTGGATGAGCGGGTGATACACACGTATATTGTTAAGGAATAAATTTCACGTCGACTAATTATCGAAATATAGATCACTATATAAAGATTTAAACTACATTTCTTAATAAGATTTATATTTTAAGATAGAATTTCAAGTAGATCACTATATCATAGCCCATTAATATCAAACAAGAAATTTGATCCGTTTAAAATTAATAAATAAGTACACAAATTTCAAGATTGACTGCTCAAGTGGGGCACCATCTTGTTGGAAGCATATTAAGCACATGTTTAACAATCATTAAAATGAGTTTTAGGGGAAAAATGAATTTTGAAATAGTGATTTTTTGGAGAATGTGTAATTAAAAATGTAGAAAATAATTTCTGCGCAAAATATTTTGTCTATGTTTGGTCATCATTTTTTTAAAACTCATTTTCAACCACACAATCCCCTGTAAAATAATATTACATGTGAATCAAAA